TCAGGCCTGACTTGACTTGACTTGCGCCCATTCTGCGATGGGCGCACGTCGCATTAGGGTTGTGGCCAACGGCCTTTCGCTGTGGAACGGAGCGCAGCTCGCCGTTGACGCCACCATCGTCAGCCCCGTCACCCGCAGGGGGGAGGTGCAGCCGGGCGCTGATGTTCAGCGACAGCAGACGTCGCGCGCGCTCGGCGCTGCCACTTGGTGGTCGTCGGAGTCGAGGTTGGTGGCCGCTTTGGAGCCGAGGCCGCCTTCCTCCGCCTCTTGGCCCGGCGCCGGGCCGACAGTGTCCCCGTTGCATTGGGCTGCTTCCTTTTTTTTTTTGTTGCGGTGGCAGCAGCTCCCTCTGAGCTGCCGCTGGCCGGGGAGTGCTGCGTAGACGGAACGACGCAAGACCTCCAGGAAGTCCAGGCCACCGCAACATGCGCAGCCAACACGGATGGGGCCGCACTCCGCGTGGCTGAACGACGCATGACGATGCAAACGGGTGGCCTTCCCAGAGTTCACGGGGCGGGCCCCAACGGCTTGTCGTGCTCGGCTCGGAGGTCGGCGGTCGCTGGAATCTGGCTTTATTTGAGCTCAGGGTACGTACGGGGCTTGCGATCGGCTCGCGCGGGCCAGCAAGTGCCATGGGGCGAGACGGTGTTGCGGCCGCCACAGTCAAGTCAAGTCAGGCCTGAAAGCCCTTAGGCAGCCCATTTAGGGCTCAGGCAAATCTAGCATTAACTATACAGAAAAGATCAGAAAAGCAGCGCTCACACGTGGTCCATGAAGGACAAGAAATCCGAAACAGTGTTGACCATCTCGCCTCATTTTGGGCTTCAAGTTGCCAGTTCAGCAGCACCCTATGCGCAGCGTGTGAACATGCGCATGTGCGAGCTCGTTGAAAAACGGGAAAGGACGTTGGCTCACGCTGGTCGGCCTTGCTGTCATTCGCGGCCGCCCTTGCCTCTCTCCGGCACGGCCAATGTTGATGGCGAGGCCCCGTTGCTCAGCGACATCCTCGCTGACTCCTCCCAATCCCCGCCCCTCGCAAGCCGCATGCCCTAGGCCACTGGGTGTGCCCTGGGACCGCTTCGCGTGGGACGTTGGAAAAAGATGGAAAAAGGCGCGGAGAAAAAAAGGACGCAGCCCGAGCTTGTGTGATGTCGGGCTTGCTGCGTACAGTAAAGGCAGGCGTAGTTCCACTTTCGAAATAATGCCCTCCCCGAAGACGACCCTTGACCTCACTCGCGTGTGGCAGCGCCCGGCGTCCCAAGCAATCGACGACTTTTGCCATCGGGCTTTCCTGCGGGCGGCCCAGGCAACATCTCGCAGGCCGGACCTCATGGTGCGCGCGTTCTCACCACGCGTCCCACCCTACCAGAGTTCACCTTGGAGTCGCCTCTTTTCGGGATCATACTGCTCCGCAGACTCCGGCTGCCGTTGCCGTTGGCCTGTGCCAGATGCCGGTGCCGCGCAATCCATGATCTTTACGGCGACCAGCCAGGATGTGCCGCGAAGCTGGTGCGGCCGTCGCCCTTACAATGTGCTTGTCCGCGACCTCAACGTCGACCCAGTCCGGCAAGACGACCGGCGCATTGAGGTCATTGCCAAAGGCCTGCCACTGTGGGGAGGGGCGCGACTCGCAGTCGACACAGCGCTCGTTTCTCCCCTGACGGCTGCCGGGCTTCCCCGCAGGGTTTGCCGGTGGAACAGTTGGCGCTGCGCTTGTGACTGCAAGACGTGCCAAAGAGCGCGCATACCCTGAATTGTGCGGGTCCAGCCGCTGCCGGCTGACCGTCGTCGCGGGGTCAGCACCGCCCCCTTCACGAGCCGCCGCCATCTCTGCCTACACGCTCCGATGGTCGGCCCTCCTATCCTTCGCTGCCGCGTGCTCCTTGGCCGCCAGCCTGCTCTTTCTGCCTGTCACTGGCGCGGCTAATGTCGATGGGGAGCTGCCGCCCCTGAGCGACATCCTCACTGACTCTTGCAGTCACCACACGCCAGCCGCCTGGCATGACCGCCCGCTGCCTGGTGCCCGTAGGCTGTCGCGCAGCCAGGGCTAGAGCACAGGGACCGTGTTGGACGTTGGTAAAAAGGCGCGAGAAAAACTGCAATAAATGGAGGCAACTCATGCAATTCTCAAAGATGTCAATGCTGGCCGGCCGGTTTCCAGGCCACGAACTTCTAGAATCGGCAATATCCCGAAACTTCGGGGATCCTCTGCGAGGATGGCAGAGGGCCGCCACGTCATGCTTAGACACGGCGGCGTGCGAAGGCCTCCTTTCTGACCTCGACCCGGCCTCGCGCGCGCTTCTGTTGTCTCAAGCTGGCCCCGGCGGCTCACGGGCCATCACAGCCCTCCCCACCGCGCCGGAGCTCCGCATGCCTTCCGATTGCATGCGTGTCCTGTTGTTGCGGCGCTTGAGGCTCCCGCTGCCGCACGTGCCGAGGCACTGCCGCTGCGGCGGTACTTTGGATGCGCTCGGGGACCACCGGGCTGCCTGCCCTGTGGCGGGTGTTCTGGGCCCGCGGGGCGCTCCACTGGAGCGAGCCGCCGCCAGGATTTGTCGGGAAGGAGGGGCCCGTGTGGCGACGAATGTTCTGTTGCGTGACATGAACGTTGACGTCCCGCTGGCGGATTCACGCCGCATAGAGGTCCTCGCCAATGGGCTACCCCTGTGGCAAGGTGCCCAGGTCGCGGTCGACACGACCTTCGTCAGCCCCGTGTCGCGGGACGGGTCTGCACGCGCGGGGGCCGATCGCGTCCCCGGCAAAGCAGCAACCGATGCGGGACGACGCAAGCGCCAAGCCACCTACCCTGAGCTGCTGGCGGCCCGCCGCTGCCGGCTGGTTGTCCTGGCAGTCGAGGTAGGCGGCCGTTCCGGCGCTGAGCTGGCGGACTTCCTCCGCCGCTTGGCGGCCTCGAAGGCCCGCGCGGCTCCGGCGCAGCTCCGGCAGTCTGCGCGCCAAGCGGCATGCCACCGCTGGGCGGGAATGTTGGCTGTGGCCGCCCAGCGAGCCCTGGCCTGGTCGTTGTTGGAGCTCCCCCTTGACATGGCGGACGAGTGCGATGGCACTGAGCCGCCTTTGGCGGAAGTGTTGGCGGATGCCCGCCACACCTTCCCGGTGGTTGCCAGCCGCCTGCCGGCCCGTCCGTGAGGCTGCGGTGGGAGGAGGTTTGGCCTTGTACATAGAGATTCGCTCGCGGGAAAAGAGCCGAGGGAAAAAAAAAAAAACAATATCCCGCCGAATTCCTTCGAATTCCCGAGTGTCTCCACGTGCAAAAGGTGGTCACCGCGCCCAACATCTTTCGCCGCACAGACTTGAGCTGCAATGGTTTATGGTCGGGTCGTTTGCAAGAACCCTGCCGTTGCTGCAACATGCGGGTGGAAAACAGGCGCGACCAAAAAAAAAAGAGAGAGATCAGTCGCCCTCGGCAATGGGATTGTCCATGGCGAGTTACTTGAAAAACGCTTGGAGGTGCAAGGGTTGGAAAATTCATGCCCTGTACGAGCAGTTGCAGCTGACCGCCTCGGTCTGACACTTGAAAACCCGCACGCTTTGCACTTTGCACTTTGCACTTTGCACTTTGCCCGAAGACTACGGTCCTTTCAGGACAAGGGACAACGGTGGCTGTTACGAGCTAATTAATTTGCGAGGCCGTGTCAAACTGTACAAAATCATGTTTTGTTGACGGCCATCTTGGCAGATGAGCTACATCAGACCACGAACTACATCCCGGGAACTGCGACATTACAAACTTTGTTCAACTCATCATCCCATCGCTTGGGGGGGCGACCAGGTCGTCGTCTCGGCACACTATTGAAATTGTGCTGGGATGAGGGACTCCAGGTTGCAGCGCATAGTGGCCAAGCATTTTTCGCAGTCAGGTTCATTACGAACCTGTGCTGATTAGCACGATGAACACTGGACCACGAAGGCACAGGATGTTGCCTGAGAGCAGACGATACCCGGGCATTCATGCGTCGCAGCGTCTCTTCCCAAGTTGCATCTGCGTCGCGACTCCACCCACAATGCTACGAAACATCTTTCGCTGGCATATATCAAGCTATATCAAGCTGTTCCAGCTGTCGCGCCGTCAGTGCCAATGTAGAAAGTCCGAACAGTGCCGTAGGAGTGACCACGGCGTTGAAAAATCTCAATCTGCCTTTGATTGACAGGTGCTTGTTCACGAATATGAATCTCAGCTTATTGAACTTTCCCCACGCTGCACTGATACGATGCGCCCCCGCGAAATGCCAAAAAATGCCACAAGCACGTGCGCAAGTATGTGATGTGCAAATCCACCATCGGTGCTCATCCGAAGCTGGTGTGTTGCGGTACGTTCCACTCAGCTTGCTAAGTCCCTTGCCCACGGGGGAGGGGGGGAGAGGGGGGGGGGGGCGAGACTGCCGGGAAGGGCACGTCGCAAACGCTTGCCAGAGGCTGTGCAAGGCAAGGTCTTGAATGGGGGGGGGGGGGCAGTGCCAAGACTCTAGCAATAAATAAGAGCAAGAACAGCAAGAAAAACAAGAGTACCGAAACCAAGAGTATGAAGCTGCACAATGGAGTCGTTCGGTTTTGCCTTGCATGGAGCAGGTGGGGGCAGCAACTTTCACAAAGAGACAGTCGAATATGTGCAGCTGGCATGTTTATGGCGTCGCACTTGTTTCATCCAAACGAGTGGGTCAAAGCGAGGACAGTCATTTAGTGCATCCCGGGCCATTGCAGGCCAGGGTGTCGGGCGCCAGTTCTGCATTTGTTGAATCAAATTTTGCGTTACAGCACATGCTATACGTTGCATCCACCTTCTGTTCTCGGTTTGCCAGGCTTAGGCTATGTTACATTCATGAGTTTGTAAGAACAACCTGACAAAAACAAACAACCTGATAGAGCACGCAGCGAAGGTTGATCCGCAGATATCCGCAGTATGAATAGCATGTGCTGCACAAAAGATTAATCAACAATCCATAGCTGTGGCATGAGCGAGCTGCTTCGCTGAGCCAGCTGCAATGCCATCCAGTGGGCGTGAAAACTTAGGCTGGCACCCACGTGAATGTGAGCTCTGCGTGTGAGCGCTTTCATGTTCATCTTATTTTGCCAGCATGTCCTGCGTAGGTTGGAAGATTGGCAACAAAGATGCTTGGTGTGGGGTTAGTGTGGGAATTTGCACGATAATGATGCTGTTGTTGTTGCTGCGGCTGTTGCCGATGTTGCTGTTGCTGTTGTTGTTGCTGCTGCTGCTGGAAATGCAGGCGTCTTGATAGCTTCCCGTGAAAGGATATCGGAGCATCGTTCACGAAGCACCGTGGCCGGACTGATGCATTTTGGCAGCACCTTCGACAGTTCTTGTCACATTTGGGACCCGGAATGTCACGGGATACCTGAATGCCCCATTTGAGGTGGTCCCGGATTATGCTCCGAATAGGCCTCGCGTTTACCTGGACATAGCCATCGATGCGGCACCCGTTGGGCGCATTGCATCTTGGCTACGGCATGATCTGGTGCAATGCCCGAGCTCACATGCACGAAACGTGTGTGCGCAATTCAGGTTTGTGAGCTGTTCAATGATGTCGTTCCCCAAACCGCTGAAAATTTCCGCACCTTGTCCTGCATGAAGATGTAGACAGGCAGAGTGGTTGAGCCTTCTCATTGCGACCAAATAAGTATCTCAAAGTGATTGCTTCGTCGCGAAGATTGCTGCTATCAATGTATGATTTGTTTTTTCTTTTCTATGTGCTGGTCATCACCTACCCTTTTTAGGGCTTGTGCGGCTGGCTTTGTGCATGGCTGGGATATCTGGTTAGACCCGTCAACATTGTTGCCCGCTTTTACTTCGTGCCAAGGTTTGTTATGCACTGGCGGCAGGGGTGTCGGCAAGAGAGGCGCGTGTCTTGCTCGATTTGTATATGTTGCACACAGGCTTTCTGATCAGCTCAGCTGCTGCACTGCAAGCCAGAGGCAAACCGCTCCACTACAAAGGCAATTGGAATGTTGTGCGAGACGTCATCATAGACATGCCCGGCGGGTGTGGGAATCTGAAGCAGGAGTTAAATTCCACCGGATCGTGCCGAATTTTGTGATCCAAGCTGGTGATTTCACACATGGCAGCCTCCTTAGACGTGTGCATGGCGTGGACAAAGGCAGCACCTGCACTTGGCAGCGCTTGGATCGCGGGCTGAGGCGACGGGACGGGCGGCGAGTCCGTGTATGGGCCAACTTTTCCAGATGAAAACTTGAACCTTGGACTTTGGGACAGGAAGCATGCGAGGGAGGAGCCTTCACACGTCCGTCCCGAAGATTGCAAGCTTTTCGCATTCAACAGGCCAGGAAGCAGTTTTTAAATGACCGGACGAACTGAAGATGTCCTTTTAATCACGAACAGTGTCATGTGCGTGTGTCTGTCCAACCCGAACGGGAGCGATGGCTGGCAAATCAGAAAAAGCGTTGGTCGCGAAGCACAGTGACACGCTTATGCACATGTGAGGCTACGTGATATGGAGACCGGTTTAGAAAAAATTGAAACGACATACAACAAAGCCCGTGTCCTCTCGCCCAGCCAGATCATGTATTTCAACCCTGCTTGAGGAACCTGAAGCACACAGCGCCGGGCATCTTAAGCATGGCCAACAGCGGCAAGGCGCATGCTGGTGGTCCTCGTTACGTGTCAACAGGGTTGACCACATCTCCCTGAGAAGCCGCTGCTGCAATCTAGCCGAGACCAAGCAGCCATATGACGGTACGATGTGTCCTCCACGATGTTGGATGTGATCATGCCCCTGGCGTGCAAAGTCATTGTGAGAATCAAAATTAAGTGTCCAAGCGGCTGCAGGACACAAACGCGTCGCAGTTCTTCATTTGCATGAAGGCCACGAGGTTGTCACCTATGTACCTTGGCTTTGGCAGCTTGTCACGTTGAGGCATGCCCCCACTTGGATGGCAAGCACTGCGTGTTCGGTCGCGTCATTGATGGAATGGATGTTGCCAGGCTTCGGCTCTCAGAGAAGGGAGAGAGTTGCACATTGCCTTTGCCGATTGGATACGATCAGTATACCGATGTAGACGCTCACGCAAGCTTTTACAGAGCCTTCTTGTCAGCCTAAGCGTCTGATGTTGAACTGCCCGGGTCGAGGGAACGAAAGAGAGCGAGAAGAGAGGGCAAGCAAGCAAACAGAGAGAAAGAAAGAAAGAGAGAGGGAGAGATCGTTTTCACCAAAAACTCGACACCCCTTGATCTTGCATGCCGGAAGACCCACCAGCCATTTTTAACCGGACGTTTTCTTCGAAGACGTGCTCCACGCTCATGCCACAGACTACATCAACGACAGTACACAGCCCGAACCAATGCGACCCGACGGGGGTGCCAACTACGACACGTCCAGAATGTTGGGGCCAAGCACGCGAACACTACACCAAGACCGTGACAACACGCTCTGAGCTGAACCTTGGCGAGAGTGATAGAGGGAGCTGGAACAACGACCACAGTGGAGACAACACACAGGTGACTGCCAACCAGGTGGGCGTCGAAGAAGAAACCTTTCAGTGCGAAGAGGGGGCCTCCGAAATTTGGCTGGGGGGCGCGAACTCGAGCTACAGTGGATGGCCCAAGTCTTTCCGACCAAGTGGTCACCTAACACGGGGGCCCGTTTCTCACCACTGGACCGAATCCCTCCTTGGGGGGCCCCTTCGCTGAGTAGAAGAAGAAGAAGACGAAGAAGAAGACGAAGAAGAAGAAGAAGAAGAGGAAGAAGAAGAAAAAGAAGAAGAAAGAGATAGAGAGACTGCTGTTGTTGCTCAGCAGCGCTTCTCGCCCATTTAGCTCAGAACAAAAATCGCTGGGCCAGAGGGTGCATGGGCGAAGCGTCAGCGTGACGCGATAGTCTTTGTGGCAAAGCAATATTCAAATTCGCGCTGAAGTCCACATCCCTCCGGATTGGTGGAACCTCGTGATTTTGCTTTCGCTTCGCTGCGCAGGCGTATAGAAAGCTGCGGGCAGGAAAGTGGAGTGCCTTCGGGCTCCGCTGTTGTGGATGACTGTGGGGCAGCTTGGCTCAAGCAGTGCTTTCGTGTCTTGCCTGGACCCCAGTGGCGGAGGTCTGTCCCAGACTTAGGAAATCAAAGGAGCAGCAAGCGTGGCAATCAGCGAGGAGATTGCTTGTAGATGCTTGTAGCCTGCACTTGCCCATGTGAAAGTTGCCAACTCGAATGAACGGAAACCCAAAAACCTTCTCTTTTCCAAATGGGCAGATGGGGAACGTTTTGGAGGACTTGGCCGGTCCTGGCCTTGGCGACCGTGCTGCAAAGCGACGCAGGGCAGCCGACCAGCCCGGGGAGGCGTCGATTTGAGATCCCTGGAAGAGGGGTCTGTTGATTCTAAGTATCTCTAAGTGTTTGCCTTTTTTGTTCTGTGTGTGTGAGAGGTTCAGGTCCTGCACATCATCAAGAAGCACAGTGGCAGCAAGGAGCCCAAAGATGCCAATGGCCAGGAGGTGAAGGCCCTTGGCGTCATTGCTTTCGCACCTGCGTGTGTCTCTGTCTCTGCGCCCGTTATAGCAGGTCACGAAAGGCCGCGCCAAGCTGGCGCTGGGCAACATTCGGAAGAAGTTCCTGGGGCCAACTTAAGACATGAAGTCAGTGAAAGCCGTCCTCTGCTGCGACTCTCGAGTTCTGCTCTTTTTGTGTCCTCTGCACAGGTTAGCCATGAGCACCGGAATGGCTGCTCAGCAGCGCGCCTTTGCAAGCTTTGCCAGGCCGGACCTTCAGATCCTTAAGGCACATCCTCCCAACTCCCAGCATCCTTCTTCGATCTTCTTCGAATCTGCCAGGGAACAGTCTGACAGCGCTGCCGATGTCCAGAGCGGCGGGGACCTGGGAAAAGTTGCCCCGGGCCATCTAGCAGCAGAAGTGGAGGCAGGGTGCACAAGTCAAGGGAAGGTGCTCTCCGTGTGGTCATTCTCGGAGCAAGATGCCAAGATGCAGCGCCTCCCGCCCCAGGAGGTTGCGTTCTCTCTGGCTCTGGGCGAGATCTCCGAGCCTTTTGAAAGCCCAGAGGGCGTTCATATGCTGATGCGAATTGCCTGACTGTATGTAGTCTTCTTGGTCTCAGTTGGCGTCGAGAATTCGTGGTCCGCACTACAGGTTCTCTTGAATCTGGGTCAGTCAGGTGATTAGCAGGCTCAGCCGGATAATGACCAGCGCTGTGGCAAACAATGGAACAATGGCACTCGCTGCACCGATGTCCGCCGAGCACAGGGGATGACGATTTGAGAACGTTCTCTCGTTCTCTCATGTGTGGCTCTGACTACTGTGCAGGGGCGGCTTGGAGCATGGTTGGGTAGCGTTGGCAGGACTTCAGTATCATGTCTCTCAAAATGCTCCAGCTTGCAACTTACAAGAACCAAGTGATGATGTGATGGTGGAGGACTTGCGGTTGCTGGGACGACGTGTTGGACAATCAGGCAGGTACAAGTTAGTTAATGACGATTTTGGAGTTCCCTTTGGTAGTGTTTCCGTGGCAGGAACCTGTTCTCGGCCGACCAGAGGCGAGGGCAGTGACTGAGTCATCTAACAGGAGATTGCTTGGAGCTCCCAAAGGTCTGGCGGCCTGGCGAGTCTGGTCGCGCAGAGGTGAGCCCATCAGCCCATCGAAGCTTTCCATGTGCTGTGGTGCCATGTGGTGCCAGCTGCCAGCCGTTTTTACTTTCAGTTCTTGTTGGGTCGACGGCTTCTTTTGCACAGGCCAGCTCCCGGCGAGACGTCTCCTGGCCTCGTTCAGAGCTCAGAGCCTTCGAATGTGTCTGCAGCTTTGGGACCATGGGCTGGGCGGCTTGACATCTTGACGAGCTTCACTCTCCGCATCAAACTGGCCAAAGCGGCACAAGCGTGTCCAGTGGAGTTTGTCTTGCCTTCCATAGTGATCGGCTTTTCTCATGGGAAGAGTGTGTGCTCGTGCCTGTGCTGGAGACCAGGCTGGCAGGTAGTGGCTTGGGGCCCAGCTGTGGCAATGTTACGGCCACATCTGGTGGCCTGCGCAAGAACAGTGACCGTACTTTTGCGACTTGACATCTCCTACGGGTCTCTCTCCTGAGGATGCTTCCGCGGCGTACATGGAGTGCCTTTGCTACAAGTTGGCCGAGTTCACTGGAAGACCTTGTTGTCCCGAGAGGCTGTGAAGGCTCAATCGAAGGGCAAGGCAAGGTCTACCCTACTGTAAGGAACTTTACTTGCAAGTGTAGGCCAATTCATTAGCCTGAGCTCTTGACAAGGGATCAGCCAATCTTTTCTGTTGTCAGAATTGCATCAGACATACATAAGGAGGTACCATTCGTGCAGCGATGTGCAACTACATCTGGTAGCAGCACTTGCACTGGTCCTTAGGGAGGGCATTGGCAGCTCAGGCAAAGAACCTCGCAACTTCAGTTCGGACAGGGCCGTGGATAAGTTTGCAATGGCTTGGCTCCGCTGTGCTTGGATAGAGAATATCCATGCGCATTCGGGCTGTGCCAGATGTGCAGCTGAATCGCGGGACTCCCGCTACCTGTTTCGAAGATTCCAGAGAGTTTGTAGGCTGCAGCCACAGTGGTTGCCAAAGGCAATGGCTGCCGTCAAAACGAGGCAGTACCTCCGAACTTGCGAGTGCCTTTCGCTGCAAACGTGTTGCGCATGTACTTCAGCTCAACAGGCTTCGCACACAAATCTGGATCGAAATCAGGCTCTACCCCAGCATTGCAGCAGCGCATGTTGCTCGTAGTTTTTCTAAAGCTGCTCGAAGCTCGTCTAGATTGAAAAAATACTGGACAATTGTGAGCTGCCGCCTACGCCTACCCATGGAAGGCGGGCTGCGGCATGCAGGTCGGGCCTCGGCTGCAAGGAGCAGGATACGCTGTGCCCTGCGTGAGCCTTCGCAGAGGCTCGTGGATTCAATGGCGGGCCAGCCGTCCCGCTGGTGCGCATCGAGGTGTCGGCGCAGTGCTGTGTTCATGGCGCCAAGTCGCTGCATGTTCATTGAGTTCCGATTGGATGCATCAAGCAGGGTGTCACACGGTGAATTGTGTGGCACTGCGCACGGCCACATGGCAACAGTACAGCGCGTAACAACAAAACTGGAGAAGAGATGGTGATGTGTCGGCATGTGTTTGCAGGAGATGTACGAATCAGAGTCGGAGGTGCACGGCCCTTAACTCGTCTCGTGGTGAAGGAGAAACAGTAGCATCCACAATACAGTAGGTGAACGTGTTTCCCCATCGGAAGGGCGGCCCGCACTATGGAGTTTGAGGTCAGAGCGACAGTCAGCACCGGGTCCTCCTGATGGCAGAGAATCTGGCAGAGAAGGTTTGGCCTTGGGATCACGATGGGCGAAAAAGTTACAGGATGCTACAGGTAATAAGCAGTGTGATACCTGCAAGAACAAGCCATGTCATGCTTGTCAGTGCCTAGCTAGGTGTCGCTTGTCCACAGACAACCGAGCACGAAGGACTTCCTGTTGATGCAAACGCGCGCCGCGTTTCAGGCATTGCTTGGCTCTGGCTTTCGCATGCTGATGTCGACACGTGCTCGACTAGCACACGGTTGGGGGGGGGGGGGTGGTGGCGCACCTCCCTGCTCTTGCAAAGGGTGATTGTGCTTGAATGGCGTGTTGATGCCAAAATGGCTTTGGCTTCGCCCTCCGGTAGCCCTTCAGTCCACATCAGCAAACAATGACCCAAAGGATGAATAAGTTGGGAACTGTAACCGTCACTGGCTTGGCAGGGTTGCGGGTTTCAGCTCGGACTGAGAAGTGTGGACGGGTCACGAGGCCTGGATGTAAAACAGCTCGGACTTGAAAGCTTACAAATCGCTCCATTTCCGCAAGAACAAAGTACGGGTTGAAAGGCTCCGAAAGCCCTGGGCGTGCACGGGAGTCAGGACTTCTGAAGCCGGCAAACACCCATGCGCAACGTATCTCCTGTTGTCTGGCGCGCGCAGCAAATGCCTGCGAACAATCCCAGTAGGCGGTGCGCTCTGGAGTGTTTGCCAGTTCGATTTAGGCACAGCAGTGTAGGCGAACTGGCTACTTTCTTCCTTATTGTGGGCTTCGTCGCGTGAGCTGTTTCTGGACTAGTTGGCTCCAGAATTCCTGAGCGATTCTTTCGTTTCTGGAGGCTGCTACACGTTGCTTCGCTCTTACGAGGACTTGCAGGTTCAGGACCTGCAGGCGCCGGCATCACAAGTTTAGTTCCGGAGCTCGGTGCAGCTGAATTAGGGGGTGCGGTTTGGAGGACTGACTGGGTCGGCTGTATGACTTGTAACATTTAGGGGGCCTCGGCCCCTCGCAACTCTCAGGGGGGGGGGGGGACTGCATCGAGCACCACAGAGTTCCACCAAAAAACCACAGAGGCCTAGTACAACACGAATCCTTTTGCAGCATTTTGACCTTTGGCGATGCTAGTCCACAAGACGCACAAAACAGCTCCACATGGAGAGTCTCGAAAATTGCTACTGCTCTCTACAGCTTGTAGAGGGGGCTTCTCGCGCCCTGCTGCAGCGAAACAAGATCTGTCTTGTCAGCTGCGCCTTGGTGCATCAGGCCAAGGAAGCTGAGATCCGAGAGCTGCGGCATGTGATTGCCATGAAGGTGGGCTTCCCGGTGCTTTTGAAGCAATCTCACCGCAGGCGCCATGCTTGATCCGAGGATCACATAATCCGGTCCCTGGGAGAGGAGATCGGTTCCGCAGAGGCTAATCTTCCCGTAAGCTTTCGCACGCTGGTGCACCCGCCTGTTTGCCGAGTCTGCGCAGGTGGCTGCGCAGGTCATCTCGATGAAGGACCACAGCAAAGCTTCCGACATGACGTCTGGCAGGATCTGATGCGCATGTCTACCTGCAAGTGGTTGTCTCTTTGCAGAGGATCACGTGATTCGGACGTGAAGCCGGACACGCTTGGCTGATGCGGAACACTCCTTCGCACACTTGTGCATGCAGTTGCCGATCTCCAGGGATGCACGGATGCAACCGTGACTACAACTAAGGGGTGCAGTTCTGTTCTTCTGCCAGGCTCCAAGAGGAGCTCGAAGAGACGAAGCACTCGTTCTGGGAATGTTCCGGTCCAGGGCTGAAGATTTCTTTTAGCTCTTCACCTTACAGTGATCACAGCAACAAGCATATAAAAGTACATAAAAGCATTGCAGTGGAGCATGGTGTGTCGATCACATGAGCTCAGCTTGCCCAATTCGTTTTTGCCTTCCCGACAATTGGAACACCATAGTGCCACCTTATTAGGTTAGTGTCTTTCTTGTGATGAGATTTGCTTGTACCGCTGTGCGACACGCTGGCCATTCGGCTCTTTAGCAACATCCTCGAGCGGGGGGTTGTGCCGTACGCTGCGCGGCAGGTTGCGACATGGCGCGCAGCTCATGGAAGAAGGGGCAGAGGCTACGAGCATGGCCTGTGATGCTGGCGGCCGCAATGTGGTCTTGGTGGCCGGCTTGTGAGGAACTCTTGCCAGCCTTCGTTGCGCCCCCACGGGCGCTTGCGCAAACAGGCGGTGATCGACATGGGCAACAAGATCTGCTGCGCCTTGGTGCATCAGGCCCATCTTCACCGCTGCCCAGAAGAGCAGGTGCTGACTCCGGCAGTGAGGCCAGTGAGGACAGGTCCCAGCTGGTGCAGGCTTGGGGTGTTTTCGGTGTCGTGGCGTACCTCTCCTACGGTGTGGCCAAAGTTGTGCCAATCGTGCTGGATGGGTTGGGCGCAATTGAGGAAGTCTGGCAATGGGGCTTGCTGGCGGTGACGCTCCTTTTCTTCGCATATGTAGAGGGCTACCGGGGCTTCCAGCTCGGCTTCTCCCCGCGCGTCGTGAGCCGCGCGTGGGTTGTCTCGGAGGAGACATCTGAAGCTCCTCTGTGGCACAAAGTGCTGGCGCCTGCATTCTGCATCGGCTACTTCCACGGCACGACGCGGCGCGTCATCACCAGCTGGGCAGTCACAACAGTCATCTTTGCCGTGGTCATAGGTGTCAAGCAGCTGGATAACCCCTACAGAGCCATCATCGATGCTGGCGTCATCGTGGGGCTCATGTGGGGCATCTTGTCCATCATCGTCCTCTACGTGGCATCTCTGCAAAGCCAGAAGCCGCCGGAATATGATCCCGCCTTGCCAGAAGATACGCCCTACACGCCGCCGCCGAACATCTCCTGAACCTTCCTGAACCTGGCGATCTGCTGAGTGCGGGTAGTTGCCTTGCCAGCCGTGTGCGGGTGTGAGCGTCGAAGCTGGCCCTCAACCACATCTTCTGGTCCGAGTGAGAGTATGAAGCCCACACCCCGGCATCGATTCAAGACCCAAGCTTCGCTCTATGCCATGTGCCCGTCTTTTCAACAAGTTAATGCAAGAGCTTCGACGAGAAAGCCCTGCGCTGCACACTTGCACATTGACCAGTTGGAGACCTCTCCAGAGTGCATCTCTTGCCCGCACCTAGACGATTTCCATGTCAGGTATGGGCAACATAGTCGAGCAATCACGTAGATCATGATGTAAAGCATGCTGCGCAAGCCGCGATGCTTGTGACTATGGCCATTCCTCAATCCACGTCTGTACATGTGAACGCGCGAGAGGCTGAAAGGCAGGGCACTTGCTACTGAGGTGCGATGGTGGAGCAAGCAGCGATGTTCACAGCCAGGGGCTGAATGAACCCTTCTGCTTAGCACGTGATCTGGAAGACGGGACCGTAGCAGTGTAGGCATGCCCCGGCATGTTTTCATCAGGAACTGCAAGGAGTGCCCGTCGTTATGACTAGGTGACTAGCTGTAATGCAGCTGTTGGCCAAGGCTTTGCCAGTTGCTGAAAGCACTGCCAGCTACCTAGCCTCTTCTTACCTTGAAAGAGCTTTTGCTTGGGATCAGTTTCTACTTTCTACATACAGGTCGCAAGTCTGCCCATTGCTGGCAGGCCTACATCCCAGTACCAGGCAACCTGCTGGATCAACGGATCGCTGATTTCAGCAATGGCAGAAGGACGCCGCTGGAAAACAAAGACACGTGATCAAACTGCCATTCTGTCCACGCCCAGCTGCAGGAACTTGGTCATGTTCACGAGATTGAAGGAAGAGGTGGGCTGCCTTGTGCTTCTGCGTGTCTTGTGTAGCCGTGGCACGTCGTGTGTAACATAACGCCATGCTTGCCACACGACACTCCTGTATATGCACATCCAGTGCATAGCCATCAGAAACATGAGTGGAACGATGGTGGTGGTGGTGGTGGTGGGTGGTGCTGCTGCTGCTGCTGCTGCTTACGTTGCTGCTGCAGCTGCAGTGGTTCCTCATGCCCGCTGATGAAGTTGCAGCAGCTGCTGCTATCACTTTGCTCATAGCCATAACACGAGTGACACCCTCTACCGCTGCTGCGACTTTGCAGCTTCTGTGGCCACTCGGCTGGCCGCACAGCGTGCCCGCTGATGTTTTCCTTACATTTACTAGGGAGCTATCCACTTTCATGCGTGTAGCTTCGAAAGTTGCACCACTGGAAATCTAGAAGGGCTTGTCGCCTTTCGCAGCGTGGGAACCACACGTGACCTTGCTCGTGTGTCCTGATATCGCACAAAATCATCTCATCTCCAACAATCGTCAACGCACTAGGATACCGTCCTCACGAACATGAAGCTATGTTTTCGTGGCTCAAAATGAATGAAACGGCAGTGCTTCTTGTGACAACTGATCCTCCGTGCCGGCAACCGTGCAGGGCTTCTACCTCTTCGGTCGGATGCTGGTACAGTGCTTTACTAGCAATCGAGTTCAAGGCTCAGCTGTGGGTACTAGGCAGGCTTTCACCACAAGCTGACCGAACACGCAAAACCTTATAATGGAGCCTTTGAGCTATGAGGGCGAGTGTAAGTTTGTTGACATCGGGCCGGGGTCACTCGGGGACTGGAGTTTCGGGGTTTGAAGCCGCATAAAGCAGCTGCGAAACGAACTTGCCCAGTCGGGACTCTTTGTGCCTCCAAAGATCTTGAAAGCCATTGTACGCTGGAGAAAAGGGGGCTCTCGAAGTGTGGAGGAGAGGTAGACAATGAAGTGCAGCGGCCACATGCTGAGGCTCGTCACTATCAAGCTGGGGTTCTCGTCCAGGAGTTAGACAGCGCGAGGCTCAGACTCAGGAGTGGAACTGTGATGAAAGCTGCATCAAATTTTCAACACTGAAGTTTCAAGGTGAGCAGGTGTGCAAGGGTTTAGACGCTTCTGTTCTTTGCCATGTTTCACGGCTGAGGCGAGGAGGTCTACGACATTGAAGATTTCATGTCAGGAGCCCAGCTCGTCAGCAAGTTTCTCACCCTAGCCTGCGTTTCCATGGTGGAGGAGCCATAAATGTGGAGACTGTCCTGACTCGTGATGCTCTTGATGTTTTTTCTGCCAGGGAGCGGTTCGAGCGCTTTGAGCATCAGCAGCTCGAGCAGCCGCTTGGTTTGCAGGGGCAGCTCCACTGTTCCCCAAGTCTTCGGCGCATTGCATCATGTGATGAGGCTCTGCAGGTATGATAGAAACGAAGCGGCACAGGCTGCCTTTCAGCATTCTCGGCTTCTCTGCCAAATCTGTGTCTGAGGCATTTTCTGGCCGCGGCACAGGGTACCACCACAGGCTTCTGCATTCACGCGTGTCGAAATCGCGCAGTCAGATTGTGTTGTGGTTGTCCCAGCATGACCCGATAGTGCTGCGAAGGGTCAACTGAAACCACCTTTGTCAGGCATGGAACCCGTGACTCGATTGAACCATGGACCGTAGCGGCTAACATCGTTAATGCTTTCGCATGAGCCAAAATAGGGCTCATGACTGCAGACAGCCCGCAGGAAGGCCAAAGCTTGCCCAATGCACGTGGCTTAAAAGATGCATGACCCTTTCCAGACACGAGCCGGTCTCACCAGCCTGCCAATGACGAGTCGTGGCATACGCTGGCATGTTGACTCAGCAGCTTGTTCTTGCAGCTCATGTGATTCAACGTGCTCAAGCAGTTGCAGCTTCAGCCGTGAACAAGGCGCATGACTTCTGAGGGGCCCAGCCACGGTTGACAAGCTTTGCAAGCTCCGGAACCATGAGCGGCAAAGGGCGAAAAGGTGCATGGGGCGATCAGGGCTTCAATTCACGAGGACAGGACAAGGGCCATAAAGGCCAAAAAGGGCAGAAAGGGAAACCGACATCGAGCCCCACGTTCTTCGAGGAGCATGCGAAGGGCCAGAAGGGCAAGCCGGGGCATAAGGTTGGCCAGGATGGCCCAGAGCACATCCTAATGCCAACTCCGTGTACTGACAGCTTCCAGACCCAGCAGCTCCTCTGGTCAGGCCAAGGGAGAAGAAAAACGAAGAGAGTGATCCAAGTGTCGGTCAGAGAATTCACGCGAAGACTCGTTTCTGGGAGCCCAAGCGGTAGTTGCAGTGTTTGCAACAACTATGGGGCCGGGCCGACGCTACAAACCTTCCCGTCTTGAGTTGCCTTACCCATCCTTACCCTATCATACCTATACCCTACCCCTCTGGTCTTACTGTAGCCCAGCGCCCAACTGTACCTGGACAAGCCCGAAGCGAGACACCATACCGCCTTCACGATTCTTTCGGTCAGCAGTGGACGAGTTTTAGCCATACGGTTTTTGCATGCCCTGCTACCACGATAATTTCCCGAGTGCACAGAAGCAGAGTCAACGGCAGCGTGTCGTCGTTGCTGTTGGCATGAGAGCCTGTGGCAGGTGGGGAGGAGGCTGGTGAGGCTGCGAAATCCTTTTATCGTGGTCATCTCCTGGGTGGAGTGGGGGAGCTGTACTTCGAGGTCTCGGGGCAGTTCCGCGGCTGCCTTCTTGGATGGGGTATCTCGGGCCCAAAGAGCTTTGTATCGGTTCACCCCCCATTGAAAGCATCAGCGCCCCAAGGTGCCGAATCCAGCTCGTCGTGCCGGCTTCGACGAAGATGTCCTCCGCCGACCAGAAAAACTTCGATGTGCCTACCAGAGTTGCCAACCGAGACTTCCAATCGGTGAACCACCTTCTTCGCGAGATCGTGTCGATTCGAGACCTTTACAGCAACTCGGACACTGGCCGATTGAGTGCAGCGCACGAGGAGCTGATGCGGGCAGTTTTTGCGAACCACCCAGAAGCTGAACGGAAACTTCAAGGCATGCAGTTTATCAGAGTCGGGCCAAACTCCAGATCCAGCAGGCCGAACGACAGCTGCTTCTACATTATGACCAACGAAACAGACGGTGATGATATCAGCTACATGAAGTGCTTGAGGCGGCTAAGTGAAGTAGCTCTTCAGGAGACTCCAGGCGAGCATGTTGTTCCACTCGCAGCGATGACCTCCAAGTACGAGGGCTTGTCGGTCCGGATCGGGCCGGACGACATTTTGGTGGAGCCTGGAACTCTTGAGGCCTTTGGGGTCCACGTGGAGCTGTACCGCAAGCTCTTATCGGTGCACACGCAGAAGAGAATTTATGGCCCTTGGATGCTGCATCATGGCAGCGATGCAAGGTTGATGATGGTGGCTGACATGGCCCAGGATGAGGTGGCCATCACCTGGAAAGCACCATTCCAGGTCCATTGCGGCAGTGAACCGGCACTTCCGCGGCCACATATGGCCACGGCCCAGCCACCTTCACTTCAAGTCTGCTTGGACGCCCTTGCTGATAAGGCCGGAATAGCCGGTGCTTTTGCCGCATCTTCTGAAGAGGAGATGCAGCTGGTGGCTGGCCAGGTGCTATTTAAGGCACTGTCCTCCTCGACGCAGCTGGCACGGTCTAAAGCAGGAGCCTTATCACAAATCCACAGCCTGAAGGCTCTGGCGAAGCACCAGTCCTACGAGTTGCTGCAAGAACAGCTGCGTAACTCGCAGGCGAAGCTGCACGAGGCAACAAGTGATCGAGACATGGCACGCTTGGCCCTTGACAAGCTGCACGACGAACTGGCCACACTCAGACGCAGCATCTTCCCGCCACAGGTGGTGGGATCAGTGGGAACGGAACAGGATCTCCAAGACCCAGGTCGTTCGACATCGGCCGAGTCGGTCCGGGCTCGCGACAGCCACCTCGCGACCGATGAAAGCATCGAAGCGCTCAGCCAGCGGCTCAAGGAACATCTTCCGGAGCCGGCTGCAACCATGCTGCGTAATTCCTTGAGCCTCATGTCCAGCGAATTGTACTCTGGGCCCTCCCGCGCACTCTGGGAACTTGTGCAGAATGCCGATGACTGCAGCTATAAGGGTACTCCTCACATGAAAATTGTGGCAGATTCCTCATATTTGTGGCTGGAATACAATGAAGTCGGCTTCACTTTCCAAGATGTGGAGGCACTGTGCAGTCTGGGTATGTCCATGAAGGGGCCGGGCCAGACGGGACACAAAGGAGTTGGGTTCAAAGCAAGCTTCGTCTTGTCCTGCAAGCCTCATGTTCTCTCCAACCCGTATCGGTGCTTCGAGAGAACATCTGTGCATTCTTTTGTGGTTTTGTCTTTGGTAGCAGGCCAGCGCTGTAGTTTCTAGCTTGAAGTTGTGATACTTTCTGCTTCTTGCTCTGGCGAGACTAAGTTTCTACTTCAACGAGGAGGCAGACTGCATTTTGCCGCACGTCACGCCCCATGTGCTTGATCACACAACTTTTCCTCAAGACTTGCCATCAAGTGGGACTGCCATCTACCTCCCACTGCGCAAGCCTGCCCCCAGTCTGCTGCAAGAAGTAGTGCTCGCCTTACTGACAGAGCACATGTGCTTTGTACTTCGAGCTTTCCATTGCCCCACATCCAAATGATGTCCCGAGCCCAGTGATCGCAACCTAAGGTGCCATCGACGCTGTTGTTCCTGCGTCAACTTCGGTCTCTTTCGTTGGAGAGCATCGATGCCGGCCGGGTGCGGACATACGTGCGAGAAGGCGGCGATGAGGGACCAGTTGCAGTTGTGGAGCACGCAGAAACGACGCGGAAGCATGACTACTACATTGCACGTGGCCCGGGTGGCAGCATTGCCGTTGCATTTCCTCTGAGCTGCAGCAGTTCGGAAGCATCCTGGATCTCGACAACGCTTCCGCTGTGCACTCTGCCGGGATTGAAGACACCATTAGATGCTCCGTTCGAGCTGACGGCGAACCGAGAAGCCCTGCTCGAGGGGAGTGCCAGAAACGCGGCTCTGCGGGACGCCTTGGCCCACTTGTGGCTGCAGGCGGTGGAGGCTGCTCAAGATGGTTCTGCTCTGGCAGCCCGTGCATGGACGCTCCAGCCGGGGCCGGAACTGGCCCAGCTGCCATTTTGGTCGCCGTTTTTGCATCGAGTGCGATCTGGTCTGCAGGAGATCTCGTTGGTGCCGGTGCTTGGAGGCAGGAGCTGCGTTAGCAATAGACAGCAAAAGGCTTTTCTGGCGCTGGAACTTCTACAAGAAGTATTGACAAGAAGCCAGCCTGACAAACTATAGTTGAACCAGGTTGTGCTCTGAGCCTCAGCCTCACGGGTGGGCCTTTTGACATGCTTAACTTTTTGGAACGGACATTCGCCCCCTACCCTGGTAGCACCTGGATATTTCCGTCCTCGATGACCGAAAACCACCCAAAAGGGGGTTGTCAGCACTTTGTGCAGGGGAATCACGGGCTCCCATAAAGAAACACGGCCGAGGGCCGCTAGCCCCCATTATTGATGCGCGGCTGACACCGTGTGCATTCAGGTACCGGCCAGGCGCGCCGGCTGCCAGTGACTCGCTGCCGCAAAGCGCAGTCTCGGCTCCTGGGACGCTTGACCTAACTGAGGGCCATGGTGGCCTAAGGGGAAGGTCCAGGGCCTTCGGTCTTCAATGGTTTGAGCTGAAAAGGCCTGAGCTTTGTTCAGACAGTGTGGCAAAGGCTTCTCAAATCCCCGCCTGGCACTTAGAGCCTCGACGACATTCTTGGATGGATTCATCATGTCTCGGCGCCCAGGAGATTGGACCTTCAGCAGTTCAGGGAAAGCATAACCGTACAACTTCTGCAATCCTGGATCACGTGCGTTGCCAACTTGTCTTTTCAAGCTTGGACAACTCACATTGGCCCGAGGAGAGCTTGCGTTGGGACCGAAGGAATTGGAGATGTTGGACTTGGGCATCCCATCGCCGGAGTACTTGCACTTTGGCTTGACGAAGTTAGCTTCGAAAGGGCCTTCCTACTATTTGCTTAAGAGCACCCCAAAAACGCCAAATACTCATCCCTATATTACTCTTGTAAGGAAGAATATTTTCATTTTTTGGGGGTTCTTAAGCAATTCGTAGATGGTGTTGCAGCCAGGAGCCAGCTTCCTGAAGGCACGGACCTTGGCCTTCGGGAGTTTGGGGTCGCCGACTTGCTTCGGCTCCTCTGCTTGCCCGGCGACCCACCCAACGCTGAACGCTCCCGTTGGGAGGACGGGTTGCTGCAATTGGTTGTAAGTTTGGGTTGTTTGTTAGCAGTTGGGTGCAATGTGCACATGTGTGTTTGCGCGCATGCCGATTTCTGATGATGCAGGCCAGGGGCAATCAATGGCGAAAGAAGGTCACACAGGAGCTGGCTTGGCAGAAGCACGACATCGATACGATGGCTTTGCGGAAGGTGCCGCTCTTCCCACTTGCCGAAGGTGATGACCCAGACGTGACAACTGGGGCGTGCGCAGCATCACCCTGGAGAGCATGTGACGAAGGTCACATCTTTTGGTCTCTGCCCAGGAATGCTCCGAAGGATCTTCTCCGAGTGTTGCACGCAGAGCAAGGCTGCCGCGAGGACAGGGACCTGCTCAACCTCCTGGGGTGCGGGTGGACTGCGCAGCCGCGAGACGTCGCTTATGCAATTGTGCAGCAGAACTTGGGCCTGTCGACCATGGAGGATGCATTGGTGCTTTGTAGGGTTCGTGATGGCACCGGCAAGCTCATTTTTTGATTGTTCGACTGTTCCCCCCACTAAGGTCCTAGACCTAGGCTGTGTGGTTGAGCTATGCATGAAGACTATTAAGATTCTGTGTGGTTGAGCTATGCATGAAGACTATTAAGATTCATCTGATTCGACATATGCTAGTGCCAGGATCAGCGCTTCTCCTGGTCAAAGCTCGCGTATCTGGGCCGGCACTGGGACGAAATCCTGTCAAGCTCGGCGACCGAGAGCTGGCTGGCAATGCAGACTGTGGGGGAGATGGAGAAGCTACTCCGATCAGTTCTGGTTCCATCGCGCGGTGGTGGCGGCAGGCTCCGCTGCGATGCCAGAGAGTTGCACTCCCCTTTCTTCCTTGGCTGCAAACCCTTACGTGGCAACTCTGAGGGCAGTGATTTCATCTTGGAACCGCCAGGAGCCGCGGGTGTGAAAGCCAGGCTTTGGTGGGAGCTCGTCTTCCTGCGTTTGGGTGCACGTCCTTGTGTAGGCAGCGTGCGCCTGCCAAAGGGCCTCTTTGCACTTCCTGGCATTGCGGGCGACCTGAGGGCTCTTCTAAGCTTCTATGGCAAGTCCGTTGATCTCAGGGAGCTGCGCAGCCGATGCGAGATCGAAGACCGCTCTGGCCGCGTCCGCACGGTCGGCCGGGAGCCTGAGAAGCGGAAGCACTCCGAACGTCTGCTCGGGCCTCGGTTTCTGCAATTCACTGGCCCAGAGTACGTGGTGGACATCGCGGAGGAGGCGGAACTTGAAGGCTTAGCTCAGCAACTGCTCGGCATCGTCGTTGCTCCGACATGTGCTGTGTTGCTCGCCTTGCTGGCGCGAGTTGCGAAACTGGAGTCTCGCTATCTGCTTGCAGTATATGATTTCCTATCGGCCGAATGGAAGCGCGGACAGCTTCCGCTTGAGTGTGCTGAGCTTGAGGAGCTGAAGCACAACGGCTTCTGGGTAATAGCTGAAGATGGCCAGATCGTTCGGAAGCTGCCGGCAGAGGTATGCCGAGGAGATGTCGAGCGGACGGGTGCTGGTGAAGCACAGGAAGGACGGATTCTAGAGTTCTTTGTTGCGTGCCTTGGTGTCATGATCTCCCCTCAGCCTGAGTCAGCGAGCGGGTCTGAGGCTCCGTGCGTCCCTCCCTCGTCCTCCCAAGATTCTGGCAAAGAGAAAGACTCTGCAAAGGGGGCGAAGTCCAAGTCCAACAAGATGGAAGGCAGGGAGAAGAAGTCGGGGCATGCACAGGATGGGGAAAATCCTGACACCTCCAAGCGAGAGCCGCAGCCTCCCAGCACCAGCGCCAACAAGTCCAGGCAGTTGCCAAAGCTGCCGCTGCTGCGGGAAGGCGTCGATGCAGAAGTTGAGGTGGCAGGTTCGGCACCCTTCCGTCCGTTGTTGGCCGAGCTGCCATTGCTCAGCAAACTCCTGGCAGACATCTTCAAAGAGGGCGACGGGGACGAGCGTCTCTTTGGCAGCATGGTGCCAGGGCTCATGGAGGTGCCAGTCTCCCAAATAAAGTTCACCCAGACCTCCATCGCTGGCAAGTTCATCCACGGCCGATTTAAGGGCTGCCGAGTTGAGGCGGTGGCGAAAGATCTGAAAAATGGCAAGTTGAGGCCTGCGGACCTTCCCATTGCCGTGGTGCGATTCAACTCGTCTTTTTGGACTTTGAACAACCGCACCTTGTATGTGCTGAACCATGTCTCTCGCCAAAGAGCTCCGCTGCTTGCTTGGGTTGCGCAGTACACGCTTTGCCCAATCACTGCCAAGTTTCTCCAGCTTCGATATGGCTCGCTGCTGAAGGAGGATGCTAAGAGTATTAGCAGACTGCCGGCCTTGAAGGATGAGGAACCGGAGCTTTCAAACCCGGATGATGCTGATGATCAACCTACATGGGATTCTGGGGACGAGGAGTTGCTAGAGAAGGGCATGGCATGGAAGTCATAGCCCATGGCCACCATGACTGTCAGAATTTGCTGCAATCTGCTTCCGTGGCAACTCTGTGAGATTGTGAGGTAAAGGTGGAGAGCCCAACAGCCTGGTCTCCCCCCGTAGTCTGCGGGAATGGTTGTTCGGACTGGACGTTGTTGGAATGGAGCTTCTGGGAATCTGTTCCACAGTTGCGTCAGGAGTGCCTCACCAGTATGTTTGTCAATACAGTGGTCAGAAAATTTGCGGGCAGGACCATGCAAGACCTGTTGTTGACTGTTGTTGACTGTTGTTGACTGTTGTTGAACTAGGATAATAACTAGGTTGAAGCTGTTTGCTTGCATCAACTCTTGCAAGCTCTTCGATCGAGCCTGCTATCATTTGGCCCTGACGAGAGACAAACCTTCGACTTTGTCCGACCATCATGTCCCCCAAGCGCAAGGCGACGCAGCGGAAGCCCCAGCATGGATGCGGGCTTCGTAGGTCATGTGCCCCTTGACGCTTTTTGAAGCCTTGGTTGAACACAGCGGACTCCTGTAATTCTTCTGAACCCATGGGAGCGTCAACGAATCTTGACGGATCTTACCGGCAAAGTAGAGCCGAGGCCCGCAGCGGAAGAGCCGCTGGCAAAACAGAATGTGGCTGGTCTGATATCAAGACCGTTGCAAGGTTTCGTAGGCTTTGCTGCCCTAAGCCCTATCCCAACTTGCTACCCCACGGCTGGTCTGCCTAGGTGTGGGTGGGTTACAGAGTAGGCAGCCCTGAATTTGCCAGGTTGGAGTGTTGCCCGATGCCTGTTGATCAGTGCTGCTGTGCGCGTGAACAGAGCGGTGGTGTTTTGCTTGAGGCCACCTTCCTCAAGCAGCAGGGCGTGTCGCAGAAAAGTTGCTCAGCCACATGGTTCAGGTTCGGCGAACCGCACGAGTTCAGGCTAGTGACGGCTAGTGGGTGCTAGTGTGTTACAGCCGGAAGGGGTCGGGAAGTCTGAAACTTAAAGCGTTTTTTTGGTGAAGTTATTCGCTGCAGTCATGACACTGGCATGTCACACCAGGTGGTCCTTGTCTTGTTGGGCTCTTTAAAGGCATAAACGGGCACCTGAGCATTCAGAATCGCCTTTGCATGCCGCTATACAAGAAGAACAATGGACCCCCGCTGCCAGTGAGCCCAGGCTTTAACAAGGTTGCCGAGTGTTTGAACCATCCGCTTGCTGACATTCCCGAGGACACCAGCTTGAGCCCTGGGCATTTCTTTGATTCGGGTTGATTTGAGTGGCTTGGCTTGAGTCTTTGGCGCCCAAGATCCCACGGACCCAGTCATGGTCCTTGTGCAAAAAAAGGCGACGGCGAGCAACTGTACCGGAATGTGGCCACACGCAATAGCAGCCAGGGAGGCTCAGGCGGGCAACTGTACCGGAATGTGGCCACACACACACTAAGCAGGCCTGGGAGGCTGTGCGGAGCAACCGTGCCAGAATGCGGCCGCACATAGAAGGCAACTGTACCGACATGTTGCCTTCTGAAGCAGGCCAAGGGAGGCTCAGGCGGGCAACTCTACCGAGGCAACTGTACCGACATGTTGCCTTAAGGCAGGCGACTGTTGCCTTGTTGAGCCGGCAAGGGAGGCTCAGGCGGGCAACTGTACGGAAGTGTTGCCTTACTAAGCATGCCAGGGAGGCTCAGGCGGGCAACTGTGCCGAACTGTTGCGTTGCCAAAACTCCATGCGTAATTCAACACAACATTATTGCAAGTTAAGGAATATTCCCGAAGTAAAGGATGTTGGATGCGATGACTGACGCCCTTCCGTCGCTGCAATGGAGATGCGGGGGATGCTGGCCAGAGCTGCTAGCATCCCCCTCTCGATGTGTCACCCCCACGGTATCGTAAAGCCGAATGCAGGTCATCCCGAAATTTTGATTGTCAAAAATGTACTCCGCGCGAGGAGTGCCGGCGAATGCTTCGGGCCGGTTTAGCGGGCAGCCTTTGTGTGCCTTCGGATCAGCGCCACGATCTCGGGTCGTTTTGCCGTTTTCAGACTTCGAGAGCCCGCAATCCGCAAACATGGCTGCTGGTCTTGCAGCCCACTTTGTTCTGGTTCGATGCAAGCACACGGGTGCAGTTTCCAAAGCGCAAAAGCAACCTAATCAAGTAGCCGAGAAACATGCACAATTACATAGTGTTTGCCTGCAACAGAACGGCCTTCGGCGCCTTTTGGTTGCACTCTAAATATCAACGCTTCCTAACCTTCGCAGCCATGACTGTGCAACTGCAGCTGGTCGATCGGGTGGACGTGTCAGGCTGGGGCCGGGAGTTTTTTTGCATAGCCTTCGGCAATGCCAGTCAAGCACCTGTCTCATTCCAACTTGGATCTGCAGGGATAATTTGGTACCACATCCTGGTCACCGAGAGAGGGCAGCAGTGGCAGGTGAAGAAGACATATCACGAATTTTTGCATCTGGATGCAATGCTATCTACATCTCCTTTCGCGAGACCGCCACTGCCTGAGCAAGGCAGGACTCTTTCGAGTTGCACGGGTGTTCCGCGAATAGTCTTTCAGCGGACATGTTGTCAAGCATAGCGAACGGCTGGAGAGGTACGTTTGGTTTCCGGGCAATGTTCAACATTGGGGACTTCAACCAGAAACGTCAGGTTGGGTTGGCCAACTACCTTGCGCAACTCGCGCAGCAGCTTCAAAGCCTGGCGCAGCTACCAATACTACAGCAGTGGTTGCAGCCGGCTCCAGCATATGCCCAGCCAGTCGTAGCTACCCTGGCACCGACCCCCATGCCAGTGGCCAACCCTGTGGTTGCCCCAGGCACACTGCCGGCAGTCGCAGTGGCCAACGCTCAGCTGCCAGTTGCCATGCCGCAGGCAATGCCAGATATACCAGCAGTTGCAATTGGGCAAGTCCAGCCCGCCGCAGTGTCCGCTGATCCCATGCAGGCCATGATGGCCAGTGCGCCTTGTGCACCTGCCCTGCCACCTGAACCGCAGGAGCAAGCTGTGCCAGGGCAACCTGCGCCATTGGTGCAAGCAATGCCGGGACAGGCGCAGCCAGTGATGGGGCAACCGGTTCCGGTGCAGGAGCAGGCTGTGTCGGAGCAAGCTGTTCCGATGGCTGTGCCAGGACAAGCTGTGCCTGTGCAGGCGCAGGCTATGCCGGTGATGGGGCAAGTGGTGCCCATGCCGGGGCAAGCTCTACCGCAGCCTGCACTAGGACAAGTGCTGCCGTTGCCGGCAGGACAGGCCTTACCTGTGCAAGGGCAGCCCGTGAGCGGAACGGTGGGGCAAGCAGTCCCCATAGTGGCACAAGCCATACCGCTGCAGGCGCAAGCCTTCCCAAATCAAGCCGTGTCAGCACAAGGAATGCCGACTGGCCACGACATTGCCCAAGGAATGCCAGTGTCAGTGCAGGCGCAGGCTCTCCCAGGAGCCTATGCTCAACCTGATGTATCACAGCTCTCTCCTCAGCACGTCTTGCAGTCACTGGCTTGCGGGCCGTTTGTCTCGTATGTCTCGTAGGGCAGAAGAAAGCCAATGAGCTTACCTTAGACCCAGACAGTCCCAAGACCCAATTCAAGCTCACCCACAGGCATTTTACAACTTTCGCATGCCATGCGGCTCGCCCAGGCCAGGCGCTAGCCTCGGCGACGGTGCAAAGCTGGCGGCCGGGGCCGCAGGACTTGCTGTTGGGCTGGGCACCGTGCTGGGAGTCCACGGCTCCTTGGCTGTTATGGCGAGATCTTCCTGTGCTCCTTTGAGCTGCTTGTCGGTCTGTCATGCGGTTCGAGGATCAGGTGGATTTCTTGGTTTGGTGGCTTTTGTCAAGTCCAAGAGGTTCAAGGTAGTTGGCCCCGGTGCGAGGCCATTGACTGAGGCAAGGGCCACGGGCATGATTCTGGGCATCGTGACTCCGAGTATGGTCACTCTGGCCATTCTGAGTTCGGCCACCACCAACAGCGGGGATACAACCAGGGCGATGGTGACTTTGGAGGCTAGCGTTGTTTGCAACTTGCATGGGTGCCTTTCTTTTGTGAATTTGTTGATGCACGTCACGTCTGCCAAGAAGTAGAAAGAAAGACAGTAATCATAAAGTGCAAACTCAGCAGACGGCATCCTGACTCTCACTGGAAAGCTATTGGACAGCTGAACTCCCGATGCCATCCTGCAGGCGCAATGTTCGGTGGCTTCGGCAGAGAGCGATGCTACAAGTGCCATGGCCGTGGCTTCTCACACGATTCCACCATGAACCACGACAAGGAGTTTTGTCAAGGGAGGGGGGAGTCGGGTGCAGCAGACATGAAGTAGACAGTGTCCTGGCATGAAGGACGAGGATGAGAGGTGTTTCTTCTGCAAAGACTGCACTGGTTGCAACGGGACGGGACACATCTCTGCCGGCAGTGGTGGTGGCTGGTTCGCTGGTGCCCAGCGATGCTACAAGTGCCACGGCCGCGGCTTCTCGCACAATTCCTCCATGAATCACGACAAGGACGACCGTGCAAGCATGCTAAAGAAAGGGAGTAGTCACTGCTCACTGAGCCGCGAAGGACGAGGATGAGAGGTGCTTCTTCTGTGAAGATTGCACAGGCTGCAATGGCAGAGGTCACCTCTGAGAAGCTGAGGCAACTTTGATGTTTGTTCGATGTTGAGGTGGGCTCTCGAGTTACGTGCCCTCGCCTTAATCTGTAATCTTTAGGTCCGTAGGGCTTTCAGAACTGCCCTCAAGCTGCTTGAGCCTGAGGGCAGTTACAAGTCGATGTAGCGCAGTATGTGCTCACCCGCTGCCATCAAGCAGACATGTACAGCAATTTCCCGGGGCTTATGCGCAGACTTGCCCGAGCAGATCTGCAGCAGTGATTGGCTATTGCCGAGGGGCTACTCGTCAATGACCCTGCAGGGCGGCAGGTGCAGTAAGCTAAGGATGGTACCCCAGGAGTTCATGACCTAAAGCTTGCACATCTTCCTTTCTGGGATTACCAGTGGTAATGGGAAACTGTTTGGGGTGGCCTATGTCTCCTCGACTTGCGTTTTGCAATGCTCCAGTCTTGAAGAGAGCTGGAAGCAGAACAGGAAATCCAGACAAGCCGACATTGAAAAGGTGTGCAGTGCAGACATGGTGAAGGGAACTCGCCCGCAAGCCTGCTCTTACTTTATGCCCAGGCCATGACATTCAGAACCAGGTGGTTTCCATGATTGAGGAGGCAAGTGGCGTGCTCTACGACTCAGCCCGCTTGCAATGATGTCAGGCTGGTGTAAGTCACAGCTCCCCCTCCCCTCGCTTGCGGAGATGCGAAAGGACCATTAGCACATATCGTGCTTATCTACCTCATCTACCTTTGTCTCATGACTCGTGACACCTAGCTGCCTTGGGACAAGTCAGACTCTCTCTCCTGGGCGCAGCTTTGGCTCTTGACAAAGGGCTTGCAGGGTGATCTGGCTTCACGCGCGATGGCATACTTTGCAGCTGCGACCGACATAGCAACTTGGATTACCTGGAGGGGGGGGGGTGTAATCTCAGCGTAGCTACATGGTCCCTTCGTGTGGGCCCTTCATTGGAAAGACCTTATATACCCTGAACCCTCTAGGCACCCTAGAAAACTCAAGGGCCCATGCTTCAGAGTCCTTAATTCTTGCTTGCTGCGGCTTCTCTAGGCTTCTGCGTGATGGGGGGGGGGGGGGGCATGGGGGGTCTTGCTGCATCCTTTGACCTGGAATTCCCAGGATGCCGCGGACGAGCATGACTCTGTCCAGGAAGCAAGCGGCAGCCCCGAGGAGCCAAGATAGCTTTAGCTTAGTTACTGCTTAGTTTTTTTTTTTTTTTGCGTGGGTTTTCCCCTCTATTCGAGCCGAACGCCGCGGGCTCCGACCCATTTCGGCTGGGCATCTTGTTGGGCTGCTCTGCGAGGAGGCGGTAGCGCAAGATGAGTACGGATGTGACCACGAGGACCCGATCTCACCCTACCAGGTCCTACCAACTGTCTGACTGCATATTTGCGAGGAAGAGATTCCCAGCGATGAGCTTTGCAACCATGGCGAGGACTGCTGCGGCGCACCCATTCCCCAAAGATATCCAAAGATCACCCCCAGAAGTAGAAGTGAAGCAGTGGTCATGTGGATGGGGGGGGCCGTTTGTTCGTGTCGCTGTAGATGTGCAGGCAGGGCAGCAAGCTGCCGAGGAGGAGGAAGAAGAAGCTGAGCTGGAGCCTGCCGCCGCCGAGGCTTGTCACCCCAGAAGGTTGGTACTGGTACTTTTTGGGGTTTAGGGGTTTAGGGGTTTAGGGGTTTAGGGGTTTAGGGTTTCAAAGAGTCCCAGCTGCAAAAAAGGGGTTTAGGGTTTAGGGTTCAGGGTTTAGGGTTACCTGCGAGCACTCAGCCCTGTCACCTGTTTGCATTTGGAGAGCTGAGTCTTCGAAGGCATTCCTGGACACTGTCAATGATGAACAGGCCATATTCTTTGTTACCATATGGTATCTCGTGGTGCCGCCCATGTCTCGGGGCATTGATCCTGCCCCGAAGAAACACAGTCCAAGCTTGAACCAAATATTGCAGGAAGAGGAGGAGGAGGACCTGGCAGACTGTGAGGCTTGCATATTGTGGTGCTTAAGTGGCTCGCTTTCTTGACACTAATCACTAATCTGTTGATTTCACGGTGGTTTAGGGTCAAGGGTTGCAAAAAGGGTTCCTCCAAGAGCATGGCAAACAATGGGTTGGCTGTTCTATTGGCTCACAGGCAGTTGCAGAAGAAGAGCATGTGGAAGAGCCTCAGGAGGCCAGTCCATTGCACCATCCGGTCAGATAGCCAAGGTGATAGAGACGCTGCAGCATGTTTACGTGGCTTACGGCAAAGAGGTAAACCCGACTGCAGCAGACTCAGTAGGAACAGGAGAACTTTTTAGAGGCTGCTGTGGCTCGCGCTGTGGCTCTGGGCTAGAAGGATAACAGAGGAGATAACCGTTTTCTTCTATCCGGTTCAAGCAGAAAACGAAAGATCAAGTGATGGAGTTTTCTGTCTGTGTTGATGTATGTAAATAAGTGAATGTATGTATTTCTGTTTAAGCGATTATTGAGCAAATATTGCCGGGCACGGTCGCACATCTTCATCCCGTCTATGTACATAGTTACGCGAGTAATTTCTTGCCCGTTTCGGGCTTGGCGGAAGCCCGAAACCCTCACAAGCCCTCGGGCCTCTAAGCGCTCGAACCCGGAGCCGGGGATGGGGGGAGGGAACCTGGGGTTCGGGCTGAGGCAGCAAGAGCGTAGGGCTGTGCCTCAGTTGAGCCCAAAAATGTGGGTGGGGGAGCGCAGGAGGTTTTTTTTTTTTGGGGCCGGGGGGCAAGAAAGGTTGTTGTCCCGCGGCCCTGTGAGCGGCGGCCCTGAGGGCAGCCGCAGAGGGGCGGGGGCAGAAAAGCAACAGGCAGGGTTGGGGGTCTGTTTTGTAGACCATAGATGTACATGGGGGCCTGTTCTGTCCACAACGGTACTTCCACAAGTTTAGAGGCGATGCCAGAAGAGCAGGCAGAAGAAGCCGCCGTGGAAGCGATTGAGGGAACCGCGGAGGACTCTTCGCACATGCTGCTGATTCGACAGATGTTGAAAGCCGCGACGTGGAGGATGTCGAAATGAAGGAAGCCGAGGCAATTAGCCTGTTGCGATTCAGAAAAGCTCTCGTGGTTTGCACTTGGGTTTTTGTCTCCCGACAGCTCTTTCTCTCAAGCAAAATGCGGAGGCACAACCAGCGCAGGATGAGGACTTTAAAATCTGGCTTTCTTTGCTCCAGGAGGAACGACCCCCAGTGCTCGCAAAATTCTGCAGGATGTGGCAGATTCAGACAAAGAGATGGCAGTGGCAGAGGCAGGTTGATGAGAGGATGCGGCATTCACAAACTGGCCTTGCTCCGACAAAAGGTTGCCTGGTTGCTTGCTGCAGGCTGCAGAAGAAGCTGAGGACGCCCCAGAGCAGGAAGCAGCGGAGGAGGAGGAGGCGTTGAGCATGGTCGAGCGGATTCTCTTTGAGCACTGGCAGCTACTTGTAGCATGTAAGGCAGTATTGGGGTTTCGGGGGATTTCAGGATACAGCCGGGCGTGGCTTGAAACATGAGAAGATGGCCGAAGTTCCAGCTTCATGGGTGCAGGGTAGGGGACAGGGGATTGAAGAGGAAGTTGATGGGTGGGAGACGCGCGGGACGGGAAAGGCTCAATACCTGGAGGGACGGGCTCTTGCAGATGTCGGAGCGATTATTGTTTGCAGGACGTGTCGCCAGCTACGGACAAGGAGATGACAGCTGTGGAGGCGGGTGCCGCCACAAGTCGCAAGATCGAGAACAACCGTAGGCACAAGCCCCTGAATTACAACAACTCACTGCGCTTGAAAGTTTCGATGACAGGTGCCTCACGTCCCTTAAAATGTCCATAATGTCCACTGCCATTCAGAACAAAATGGTGCTTTGCTGGGGGATGAACATGCTGCCACTCACTGTTCAGGCTGCAGAGCCGGCACCGGAGTACGCTGCTGAGGACCTCTGTGCGACCAGTACCATTGATCAGGGCGTTTTGCAATACCAGGAGAGACTGGCTCTTGCGGATGTCGGGGCAATGATGGTTGCTGGCAGGACGAGTCGGCAGCTTCAGACAAGGAGATGACAGCTGTGGAGGCAGGCGGGTGCTGAAGAGGCAACATGCCACTTTGACACTTTGACAGGAGGCCACTTGTCCGCCGTGTTTGCTGCAGGCTGCAGAAGAAGAAGAAGCTGTGGCCGCTCCAGAGGAGGAAACAGCCCAGACAGCGGAGGACTGCCGCTGTTTTGAGCACTCGCAGCCTAGGATGTGAGGCAAGATGGGGGTGTAAGATGGCAGAGACTGGCCAGGGTTCCAGTTGTGGGGGTGGCTTGAAACGTGACGTATCAGCTTCATAAGGGGGAGGGGGGGGGCTAGGATAGCAGGTGCGAACCACGCTCTTGTTCGGGAGTGGAGGGGTGCTGCTGTGTTCTCTGCTTGGCAACCCGATCCGCACGGGCAACAGTTTTGGCGACGTTGTCCTCTTGTAGAGCAGATTTCTCATCGTCTAGGAGAAGGGTCTCGAAGAGCACGAAGACCAGGCAAGCTCCGCACCTTTTGACGCAAGAGACACGCGAGATCCCGTAGCATGTGGCCCTAAAAGGAATTCTTTCGACTTTAAACGCTAGGGTTTGCAGGGCTAAGGGTGCGTCTTGAGCAGTCGTGTTGAGGCTTCAGGGTTTACGGCTTTGTGGGTTTAGGGTTGCTAGGGGTTTAAGGGTTTCACGGGTTCATGCTTCAGGGTTTTTCAGGCCTGAAGGTTCTCAGGGTTCAGTGGTTTAGCATTGTTTTGCGGCTTTTATGGCGTAGCATCTGACGTAGCATGCGTCCCCGAAGGAATTCTAGTCACAGGTTGAGGTTTCAGGCCTGAGGACTTTCATGCTTTAGGGTCTTCAGGCCTCATGGTTTTCAGGGTTCAGTGTTTTAGGATTGTTTTAGGATTGTGCTTCCGCTTTTGTGGCATAGGCGTTTAGGGTTGTTTGGCTAGGGCTTTAGAGATTCAGCCTTCAGGGTTTTGTGCGTATCGGTGTCCGAGTTCGACAATCAAGAAGCACACTGAC